ACTAGAAAGATGAGGATTGTAGTTAAGGAGGGAGTGCTCAGGCAGGCCTGACAACACTGTGGGACTACAGTGCAGAAGAAGTACTGAGTTTGCTAAAAAGGGAGTTTAAGCACTCACCTTGTAAAACTATTCATTCAGTTTAACATAGATAAACAGAAATGAAAGGCAAGAGCACATAAGTGAGGTTAGCAAAGCTTAAAACAGCTCAGAAGAAAAAGCCTGTGGAATCTTGCAGCGAGCTGAGGAACCCATCTTTTTCAAACCATACAAACATACACGGTAATGACAACCTACCCGGAAAAAGAAATTTCAAAGAGTGTTTGAGCTGTTTTTTTTTTTTTTCTTTAGAAAGCAGTCTTACAAAGGGTTTTTGCGTGCATTTTGACACCTGTAGCCATGTGATCTAATCATATTTAGTATGTATTTTTATGCTATTCTTTTGACTTTAATGGGCCCCCAAATGTGTGCCAGAGCACCAAAAAACATGCATTAAAGGACAAGTTCACCTTTGGGAACATGTTACATCCATTAGGGTGAAACATGTAGCATGTTCCCACTCCTGCAGCGGCACCCTGATCCCCCCCCCCCCCCCTTCCCCTTCTGCCAACGCGTGCTGTCATTATTTGAAAAGAGTTCAACCATGCAGGTCCCCTGTCCACATGGCCATGTCATGTCAAGTACCAACATCCCTTGCAGATGTCGAGTTGAAGTTCCCAATGAACTAACAGGGTGCTGTTGAGCCTTGTGGTAGTTCATTGCTTCTTCCTGCCATTACATAACTGTCTGCCCGTATGAGGTATGAGCAGACAGCTACTCTGACAGTCTGCATGAGCCCTGCATTGCTCCAGCAATCTGCATTATTTTTTTTACTCTCTCATTTACATTGGATGACTTGCTGAATGTCATTCGAAATTTCAATTGCTTTCAACATTTGATTTTGGAATTAATGTAACTTCTCAAATCAAAACTACATTTACTGTTAGAAATTTGCTTGAGAAAAATTTTCTATCTCGCGCCTTCAAATGTTCTTATCACTGTGGCAAAAAATGGTCGATTTGACCCAACTGTCAGTTAGAAAATTGAACAAATGTTCTTAAATTGAAAAAAATTTTAACGAAAGTCTACTAGTGCATGGCCAACTTAAAGAGTAACTTCACTTTTGTTGAGGAAAAATATTCTTCTATGTCATCAATGTACATTGCAAGGATTTTAAACAAACTTTGTTGCAGATTCCTGCCTTTTGTTATTCTGAAGAAATAGCCGTTTGTGTCCATGTGCTTAATGAAGGAGAAAGAGTGGTTTCACAATTATCAATCAAGCTGCTTCACCTGCAGGGATCGACTGAGGAAAATTGCAGGGTCTGCATCCCTTTAGACATGATTTCCCTTTGAGAGTATCTCACAAAAAAATTACATTTTTGCTGCAAGGGATACACATAATCTGATTTGTATCTTAGTGCAGGCTTCTGGGAAAATCAGTGAGAGAATCACTCAAGCAGGAAAGGACATTTCTGGGTTGCCTTCTGTACACCATCTGTGTACAGAACGCCTCCAGGTTGCCATATTGCATTGCATTTTACAGAAAATTACAATGCTGTAGAGTGAAAAAGGTAATTTTTAATAACATTCAACTACAGCCCTGGCCAAAAGTTTTGAGAATGACATAGATATTATTTTTTCACTAAGTCTGCTGCCTCAATGTTTTTAGATCTTATTGTCAGATGTTACTATGGTATGCTCAGGGCTGGTGCTAGACTATTTTTCACCCTAAGCAAGACCTGCTACCTGCACCCCCCCCCCCCAAAAAAAACAAAACAAACAAAAAAAACACTACTTCACCTGTATGTCTACTTCACCCCTCCTAGAACACATCCTCTTTCCCCTCAAATGTTCCATCCTGGCTCAAATCCTCTCCCCAAATCCCCCCTCCTAGTATAAATCCCCCCAATCCCTCCTCCTAGCACAAATCCCCATAAATCCCTCCTCCTAGCACAACTCTCTCCAAATTACCCTTCCCAACCCAAGATCCTTCCTCCCCACCCAAATCCCCCCTCCTAGCACACCCCCTCCCAATATCCCCGCACCTACAACAAATTCCCCCAATCCCTCTTCCAGCACAGCTCCCCCTAATCCCCCCCTCCTAGCACAATTCCCCCAATCCTCCCACGTAGCACAAATACCTGCAATCCTCCCTTCTAACACAACCCTCTCATCCCCTGTCCTAGCACAAATTCCCCTCCAATCGCCCCTCCTAGTACACATTCCCCTCCAATCTCCCCTCTGAAAATAAATCCCCCAAAACCCTCCATACAAACACAAATCCCCCCCATCCCATCTAACACAAATGCCCCAATTCCCTCTCCTAGTACACATTCCCCTCCAATCCCCCCTCTGAACACAAATCCCCCAAAACCCTCCATACTAAAACACAAATCCTCCCCCCATCCCATCTCCTAACATAAATCCCCCAATTCCCTCTCCTAGCACAAATCCCCCCCCCCCCCCCCCCCCCAAATCCTTACACAAATCCCCCCTCCCAGAACCAATCCTCTTCAAATTACCCTTCCCAGCATGAAATCTTCCCACCTTACCAAAATCCCCCCCCCCCCCTTTCAGCACAAATCCTTGCCAACTCCCCCTACTCCTAGCACATATCCCCCCATTACTTCTCCTAGCACAAATCCCCCTTTTGCCTTATGACAAGGCACTCAATCATGCTGGAAAGGCATTGTTCATCACCAAACTGTTCTTGGAGGGTTGGGAGAAGTTGCTCTCAGAGGATGTTTTTGTACCACCCCTTTATTCATGGCTGTGTTCTTGGGCAAAATTGTGAGCGAGCCCAATCCCTCGACCGAGAAGCTTTACTGTTGTCACGACACAGGTCTGATGGTAGTGCTCACCATTTCTTCTTCGGATAAGGTTTTTCCGGATGCCCCAAACAATCAGAAATGGGATTTAAGAGAAAATAACTTTACCCCAGTTCTCAGCAGTCCAATCCCTGTACCTTTTGCAGAATATCAGTCTGCCCCTGAGGTTTTCCTGGAGAGAAGTGGCTTCTTTGCTGCCCTTCTTGATACCGGGGCATCCTCCAAAAGTCTTCCCCTCACTGTATGTGCAGATGCACTCACACCTGCCTGCTGCCATTCCTGAGCAAGCTCTGCACTGGTGGTGCCCCGATCCCACAGCTCAATCAACTTTAGGAGACGGCCCTGGCGCTTGCTGGACTTTCTTGGGCACCCTGAAGCCTTCTCAACAACAATTGAACCGCTCTTCTTGAAGTTCTTGAAGATCCGATAAATGGTTAATTTAGGTACAGTCTTAGTAGCAGCAATATCCTTGCCTGTGAATCTAATTTTGTGCAAAGCAATGATGACTGCACAGGTTTCCTTGCAGGTAAATGATTTCATTCTCAAAACCGTTGGCCAGGTCTGTACAATATGATTTGTGTTGCAATTGCATAAACTATTGTATAAACTATATTTAGTATTTGTTATTTCTTTTCCCCACGAAATTGGACTTACCCTTTAAGCATGGGCACTTGATCTCACCTGGAATCTGGTGACTATGATTAACTGCTTTTAAATCCAGTTTTTAACCACTTGACCTCTGGAAGGTTTAACCCCTCATGACCAGGGTATTTTTCTGCTATTCAGCACTGGCTTTCCATTCATGACAGCTTGCTTACAGTTGACATGCTGTGATTGGCTACAGCTAATCACATAGTACAGGTAGCCAGGTACCATGTAATAGCTGTGGGCAAATCACAGCATCACAACAGTAATCAAGTTGTTCTGAAGAGAAAGCCATTCATGACACTTTGCTTGCACAATATCATGTGATTGATATGATTGGCCATAGTGATCAGGATACCCTAGTCGCTTATAGCAGCCGGGTACTGAACACTGTAAACCATAGTGTCCACCAAACAGAGTGTTCACATGATCGCGCTGCTGCATGCCCCCAGGGAGCGTTAGTGCACATGTGCCAGGTGACATACCAGTATGTCGCCTGGCCTGGCTATGTTACCCGCCAGCAGAAAATGTACAGTGAGTAGGCTGTAAATGGTTAAATGAGGGACACGCTACAAACATTCTTGACAGTATGCGTGTCTGTATTTCCTCTTTGCACAGGCATAGCTATTAACATTTCAATGAATTTTTATTTATAGGGTCTAACATTGGTTATTTATTCAGATTTATGTACATAGGAGATATATTCTGATACAATGCCATGAGAAGTGCTCACTGATGTCTCAAATGTACAGCCAGGATGAATGTGACCTACAGAAGGATTCATATGAGATTAGAAGGATAATGCAAGCCTGCAGCCATATTTTGGTAGCCCGATTAGTAAAGAATTCAAAATATTCAAATTAGTATGCCAAAAAAAGAAAAGAATCTAATTATACAACATAGGGGTCTTTACCTGTCGGAATTATAATTATATAGCTAGATATCTGTTTATATTTAAAGCAATCTTACTGTATATGTTATTGGCCTTTTGTCTAGTTGAAAAGTCAATGTTTTAAATTCTATCTTGGTCAAAAACATTTGAAGGAGCTCTCAACAGAAACTGATGAGTGTTGGATTTTTCATTCAATCAGGTAGTCAAACAGTCACTGGACTGACTGTACTGTGTGGTTTGTAATCGATGTGGAGAAGAATTGCTATAAAGCATTTTAGTATTTAAAAATGTCAGCGTGAAATGAGGCAGAACATGAAAATTAGACCTTTTGGATAAATCAAAGCTTGGACAATAGCATTCAGCTTTAACAAAAATGCAAGAGTAATAGAAAAAGCATCAAAATCTTTATGACCATTATCCAAACCACCGACTATTATGTCAGCTATGCAACAAGTCATGCTAAAGCAGAATGAGTATGTAAAGTGGGGCAGCATTCGGTCCACTGCTGGGCCTCAATGGCTCCAGGAATTTGTTAGGACTGCAAAATGCTAAGTATCAGCTAGTCAATGCCTTTAAAAAATGTTGCATTCAATAAATGTAGCCCTTTTGATCATTAACAATGAGAGTACTTGTACAATGTCACCCTAAATATTCATCCTGGCATCTAGACCAAGCTCACGGGTCTGTTCTCTCTCCTCTATCCTAAAGCCGACACTGGGAGCCTATCACATGACTGGACCAGAATGCCCAGGGAATAGTAAAGAATACACATCTTTCCTCTACAGCAGGGGGTATTGAATTAAAATTCAAGGAGGTCTTGTCACAAATTCTCTTCTGGCCGAGGTCTGAATAGGGTGTGCCCATTAGTGTGCCCACTTACATTAGGTGTTGCCATCAGAGTGCAACTTTTCATCATGTATTCCCATCACATCAGGTGTGCCCATCAGAGTGATCCTTTTACATCAGTTGTCCCCATCAGAATACCTCTTTACATCAGGTATCCCCATCACAGTGCCACTTTACATCAGATATTCCCGTCAGAGTGCCCCTTTACACTCAAAGTACCCCTTTCCATCATATTTCCCCATCAGAATGCCCCTTTACATCATATTCCACATCAGTGTGCCCCTTTCCATCACATGTGCCCATCAGAGTGCCCCTTTCCAAAGTATGCGTCCATTTGTGCCCCCTTAACATAAAATGTGCTCATCAGAGTGCCCCTTAACATAAAATTTTATGTTAAGGGGCACTCTGATGGGCACATTTTATGTTAAGAGGCACTCTGCAAGACTATATCTTACCTTGAGGGCAGACAGGAGCTGTGCCAGGATCCTTGCTGGACGCTTGTGTACAGGAAGGGAGCGGGAGCCGGAAAGATAGTGAGCTGAAAGGGACGGGGCACACGCTATGTCATGTTGTCATGACGACCGCTTTGCTCAGCGGCGGATCTGTCACTGCGGGCTGGCGGTCCGAACAGCAGCACTGCTGGGGTCGCACCCGGACCATGGTCCACCATTTAGTGACCGCTGCTCTACAGGATAGTTAGTATAGGGGTTCCATGGGGGCGGAAGCTAATTTACATTTAGTAGGAATTTGAATGGACGTCTACTCTAATGTGGACCTCTCTGTAACTTTCAATGTCTGCATGAATGCATTTGTAACATGTCACAATATACAGGAAAATTATATATTCTATCATCAAAAAAGCGGTTCCTGAATATCATTATCCATAATTATTACCAGGCAGGAGGATACAAATTTGTCTCCTCCCCAGTGGACAGATTGCAACATTGTAACTATGCACAAAGCTTCTGTAGAGGGGACATATCTTTCTCAGACATTTGTAAACACACCCAAGAACTGAACAGGGACAAGCACTTAACTGATTTACAGTATCTTTGCACTATCATCTCCGTTTAGGAACCTGGATGACACATGAGCAAAGATTGTGCTGCCTCCTGAAGAGAAAATAAATTAAATGAGTTGGCAAACTAAGTAGTGTGACCTCTGCGAGAAGTAATATGTACCCAGAAGTGTTATACAAACACAGCATACAAGCACATATCATGCAAATATTGCATCTGATGCTAGTTCTTCTTTAAAGTCAAACTCTAGGAACAAAAACTTTAATGAAAAATTCCTTAAAAGCCGTAAGGTACAATAATCCACCATGTTCATCAAATGCTTATTAATTGTAAAAAGTAGCAGTGCCATCATCACCGTTGTACAGAGCTTGTACAGAGAGCAGCGTTGTGAGAAGGACCCATCATGCCCATTCAATAAGGCTCCCTGCAGAAAACTAGAGGAGAGGGCGAATACAAGACCAGTCACGTACATAAGGAGAGAGAACAGCAGTAACTGGCCTTCATTACACAAAACTCCTGCACAGAGGTAAAGTTTCACACAAGAACACTGCACGGATCAAGAAGAAATGCACAAAGCACACCAAGATTCAAATAAGAATACACATACTTCTTGCATTTACACAATATTTGTTTACCCCGGAGTTCAGCTTTAAGTATGCATAATTTCATTTTAATACACACATAATAGCAGACACTGCTTTAGTTTCTCTTTTTCTGTGAGTAACTAAGTGGCTGAAGAGGAGCCAGGACCTCCTTTTTCCTTGCTTAACATGGACCTGAACTACTCGTCTTGATTTACTCTTGCAAAACAGCAGTGCCTTGGTATATGAGCGTGCCTAGGCATCCTCATAACTGTATACCTGGAGCATGAGCTCTAAGGTACTGCTGCCTATGACAGTTCATTTTAGAACATTTGGAGTGATGTCACTACTGTGCTGCTCACTGTTCTCCTTGCTGGAGAATCGGACAATAGCTAGCAAAACTGTGCCTTTACCAAGATGGTCGCCACCACACAGACATAGTGCAGAACAAGGCATGTGGAAGAAGGAGCTGCAGGAAGACCAGAGGCAATACTGGTGACTTATCCTTTGCCCTAAACCTACCTTTTTTGGCACAGCTTCCAGATCTCAGATTTAAATGTCATCAAATTGTGTATGGTGAATTTTGTATCTACTCAATAGCAATGTGGTTGCACACACATGCTGCAACCAAAACTAAATTATATATTTCATAAAAATAAGGCAATGCTTTAATGAGAATTCATAAGAATGAATACATGCCAAAACCCGTTTTAACAAGAGCATAGTTTGTGGATGATTTCTGTGTTTGTTAAATGGGAACTGCTCCATTAGTTGATGAACACTCCTGATGAGCGAGCAGATCAGCACATATAAACAGTGAAATAAATTATGCACAGTGGCTGGTTTGCTGCAATGGCCATTTCACAGTGTGGGATCGAGCAGAGTCATTAAAATGTGTACCTTACGCTGGCGATGCTTGGTGACTCCGCTCCCAGTCTGCATCTTTCTAGTTGATTGGCAACAATTTGTCTCTCCACCTCAAGCTCCCTGGTGAGCCGTTCAAATTGCAGCTCCTGGAATTTCAAGAAAATGAGAATGAAGCCTCAGGTGACGTGCAAACACACAGATTCATGTGAAGACAACCAGGTGGGACACAAAATAATCTGTCCTCCACTGCCATACCTCATTTCTGTAAAACCTCCTGCTGAACATATTTTTTATGAGTTTATAAAGCATTACTATTCACCTCAAACAGATATAAGCAGTCATTCATCTCAGCCATAATACATTATGGTGAGCCAGGCTTCTTGTATGTGTACAAACAGCATCCAAAAACAACCATTTGTAATTACTGAGGTGTACACAAGAATATCAAACATTAAGTAACCCTCATCAGTGTGTGGATTGGTCTTGCCTGTGTGAGAAGCCTCAAAGCAGCAACCCTCATCCATTTGCATAACTGCAGAAGGGATTGTTTACATATGCGGTTTAGGGGTTGTTTTTACACACAACCCCAACCACTGGTGTGGTGTGAGGGGTGGCAATTGCGACCCCTACCCATGCTCCAGGGGACCTGTTTGACCTCCCTGTCACATTCCATTTTACACTTGGACAGGAGGGGCAGCATATACAGGAACCGATCCTGTCCATTTTCTCCTGCTTCTATTCTCCCTCCTGCCGGCATTCAGAGGCTGCAGGAAAAAAATGTCCATTAAACTACCCCCCCCCCCCCCAAAAAAAAAAGAAGGCAATTCTGAACCATTTAATTTAATTGTGGCCTGCGATTGGTTTGCAGATCACTTAAGTAGCCCTCGCTCTTGAAAAGGCTGAGCTTTGCTGACACTTTGTGCAGTATGCTCCAATGATCTCAGAAAGCAATGGATGTGCAGCTGAAGCACAAGCAAGAAGACAGGAAGTGGCTGAAAAACTCTGCAAAAGATCAGGAACACAGAGATCCATATAAAAAAAAAAACAAAAATGTGAAATATTTGTTGTGAAAGAAAATCATGGCAACATGACCATTCAGAATTTATATCTAACTTTATGACAGATCACCTACCATAAAATACATCAAAATGCAGCTCTGTACACTGATTGTAACAAGATAGGTGATAGGTACAATGAAGGCTGCCATCCTTGCCTATTGCAGGATTAATGTGATCATGAATGGCTTATAGAAGGCAGGACAATGGCATGCAGTTTGCGGACTTGCAAGATCTGACGAGTGTAGTCACAACACATCGCAGGGCCGGTGTACCACAATGGACTGCACACGTTATAAATTTCATGTGTTTCACTGTGGATATACAGTGGTTTGGTTGGAGCAGCGCTTTAAAAAGCAATAATAATTCAGTTATTAACCCATTATGAAGAACACTTTGGCTTAGTGTCCCAGTAAGCCAGCAGAGTGCCATAGTTTAGCAGCAAAACAGTGGTGCATCCATGGAAATGATTATAAATGTTGCCATTCTGTTGCATCTTGTCTTAAGAAATGTCTCTCTTAGAAAAGTCTTTATTGAGGTGAGGTTTAAAAATGTCACAGAGTATTATATTCAGCAGTAATATAATCCATTTTATGTACTAGACTCCGTATCACAGTGCAAACAATAAGCATGTATTTTAAGATTAGCCTGTCTGCTCATTACGCTCGCTCTGGACCTTGGCTTGAAAACGCAAGCGAAATATAAAAAAGCAATCAAATTAATCTTCCCCGCTCCACATAAACCTTCCCCCCTCCCTTCATACACATGAATATTTGCATAAATCAGCCAAGTCGTCCAAATCTCCACCCATTACTGTCACTGATTCATTCATGTACAGCCTGGTGGCTGGGAGAGATAGCTGAAATCCAGCGGAGGTAGCTGCAGCTGTACTGAGGGCGCACAATACAGAAGGCAATATTTTATCCAAATCATCTCCTGCCATTGCATAAACACTGCAGTACTTAAAACCAGAGGGTCATTAAGGGATCGCAAGAAGAGCTACAACATTACAGTGAATCTGTCATATGCAAAAGCAAAAACCATTTCTGTAGTAAAGTAGTGAAAACGATATAGAAATGCTTTAATGTTTTAAATTCACATCGGTAACCAGCAGTACAAGTTTTTTTTTCTTTTTTAAATTTAATTGAATTTGGCTTAGCCCAAGCCCCCCCAGTGGTGAACGGAGCAGCAAGGGATGTGGAGTTAAGAAAGGTAACCATATGCTGCTCAGGATGGGAGGGATTAAACCAAACCTTGCTTTATCCTGAATGAGCAAAGAACAGGTTTGCTTTAAAAAAGACTGTCACTAAACTCAAAGTGCTAATAACAGATGTTCCTGAAAAGGACAGTACTGCTCGCTGCTGCAGCCCACAATGCCAAATACTCCTGTAATTGACACTGGTTGGATTTCTGCCCAAACCCTGAAAAACAACCCTACACCATAATCCCCCCTCCACCAAACTTTACACTGGGCACAAAGCAGTCAGGAAAGTACCGTTCTCCTTGCAGCTGCCAAACCCAGACATGTCTATCAGATTGCCAGACAGAGGAGAGTGATTTGTCACTCCAAAGAACATGTCTCCACTGCTCTAGAGTCCAGTGGTGGCATGCTTTACACCACTGCATCCGACACTCTGCATGGCACTTGGTGATGTAAGGCTTGGATGCAGCTCATGAAGCTCTCTATGCACTGTTGTTGTGCTAATCTGAAGGCCACACAAAGTTTGTAGGTCTTTAGATATTGACACTGCAGACAGTTGGTGACTTCTGCGCACTATGCGCTTCAGTATGTGCTGACCCCGCTTATTTTATGTGGCCTACCACTTCGAGGCTGAGTTGCTGTTCTTCCCAGTTGCTTCCAC